TGGATCCATGTTTAGGAGCTATTGGTTATGCAGGGCTGGATGTGGTCACTCATACCTGTAATCTAGTACTCTGGGGAGACCAAGGCAGGAAGATCCACTTGAGTCAGGAGTTCAAGACCAGCCTGTGCAAGAGCGAGACCATCTCTACTAAAAATATAAAATTAGCTGGGTGTTGTAGGTGTGGACATGTATCCCAGCTATTTGGAAGGCTGAGGCAGGAGGATGCTTGAGCCCAGGAGTTTGAGGTGGCTGTGAGCTAGGCTGATTGTCATGGCATGGACATGGCAACAGAGTAAACTCTGGGCAATGGAGTGAAACTCTCTCTCAAAAAAAAATAAACACATTTGAATGTGCCTTCAGGTGGGAATGTCCAGTGGATGGCAACTTACAGATCTAGCACTTGGAAAAGAATCTGGGCTGCAGGGATCTATTGAGAGTTGAGAGTACATATATTTTGATAATATCAGAAGCTGGAGAGGGCCAGAGGAAGTGAGATTGTCCAGGAGAAAACAAAGAGTAAAAGGAAGAGAGCACAGGACAGTGCCATGATGTGGAATCCACTAAGGAGCATGGAACAAAGTCACTGCCAAAAAATAAATAAATAAAAGAAAAAGAAAAGAAAGAGAGCAGAGGGTGAACTCGTGGAACACCAGCCTTCAGGTGCATATGTTTTGGCAAAGATTGGAAAGCTGCTGCTGAGAGGAAACTGTAAGGACTATTGAAATATTGCTCAGAGAGGGAGGAGGGAAATCAGGACAGAGTCATGTGGCCACAACCAAGGGAAGTTTTAAGCAAGAGGGAGTGGTCTACCGTGGCCACGAGTAGAGGCCTGAGAAGTTGGATTTAGCTATCATGAGGACGGTGGTTATCCTGTGCCAATCACTTCCTGGGATGAGGTGGGCAGACACAGAGCCCCGTGGGTCAGGAGGCTGCGAAGGGGGAGGGGAAGCTGAGCAGACCTTCCAGGAACGAGGCTACTTAGGGAGGAGAGAGAGGGCCATAGCTAAAGGTTAGGTGGTTGGAAGTACGGGCGGACATGGGTGAGGGAGATTTTTGTTTGGTTAAGATGGAAGGAGACCTAAGCATTTTGTAGGCTAAGGTGAGAAGACATTCGAAGAGAAGAGGCAGGCATGCCAGCTCTGGCTCACCTTGGTTTGGTATTTTCCAGAACTGCCTTTGGATCCGACAGCCTTTGCTCTGTTTCCAGCAGAGCTCTTCTTCTCACACAGGCTGATTTCTCAAAGACCCCTGCTCTAAATTGTCTCAATCCCAAATGAAGGATCTGTTAGCGTCTTTTATTGTAATTCAATTCTAAATTTAACCAGAAAATTATAAGAAAAACTTTCCTGAAGGAACTTCAAAGTTACTGTTAAGGAGTTTACTTCAACTTGAAACAAAGCTAGGGTTCAGAGAAATCTTGATTACATTAAGCCAGGCTGATCAGGAGAGATTTTTTTGATTCTGGAAGAAGTTGGAACAGTTGGTGTTTTGAGGAGATAGCCACATGATCCCAGCAGTTGAAAGATTATTAATACATCATTCTATAAAGTTCTGTCTTTCTGGCCTGATGAATGAGCCTTTCTAATATTATTTAAATTATTCGCATTAATTGAACCATCGAATATGAAATGACCTCAGAACGAGACCCATCTCCCACTTCCAGGCTTACAAACGGAGTTTATCATCCTAGATAAACAAGCACAAAGAGAATACCAGAAAAGTTAGGTTGATCTCCAGCCACGTTAAGCTTTGTTAGTGGGTTGGGTATTATGACATCTTTTTGTTTAGATTTGTTTGGGAAATATGTGGCTTTAAAATACATACAATCTAGTATCTACCACGTAGCTCTTGGTGGGGTAACTGCTCATTATAAGCATAGCAGACTAGAGCGTATATGAAGAAGGGAGAGAATTTTCTGATTCTGGTTTAAAAAGAAAATCTTCTGTGTTGTAATCTTGGGAAGCCTGATTATTTCCAGGAATAAAGATATCCTGTGTTTTTTTTATAAGAAATCATTACATGTACTGTATCTCAAAACAGTTTTTACCTCTAGAGGTTAACAAATTGGTTCATAAAACGTGCCTGCTTTAAATTTATTAAAGTCTTTATAAATATTAATATCTCAGGGATGTACTATTGAAAAGATTTACCCAGGGACAGAGACATGCAAGGGAGAGAAACTGCTCACAAAATGCCTTGGAAAATAGCTTTTTGACTGAAAGGAATTGTCCCAAAAAAGCCTGTGGGAACTGAAGTGCCTACTTGTGTTTATGATATTTAAGCAAGTGTTATACTGAGCACACAGTTGTGTTGATGATGCTGTGTATTTACCTCTCAGTTTGGATGTAACATCACACTTGTTCTGGCTAAGATTTTACATACAACAGACAACAAAGAAGCCTTCCTGATGTTTTTGAACCCATTGAATCAATCATGGCTACTCTCACGTTATATAACTCATTAGAGCATGAACAACTCTGGAGTAAGTCTCACTAGCTAAATATATTCTATATTTAATAAGAATTCTATTCAGTTGTCTTGGTATTCTTATTCAAAGTGCCTTACAATAGATAAATTTGTACACAAGTGCTGTATTGCTGAAACTTCCTCCTTTAGGAGGCATATTTTAATGAAGAAAATTGGGATTTTGTGAACTGTCAAAGGCAAACACAGCTTAACTTAGATTAATGCCTGTATTTCCTTTTGCTTTGTAGGAATTTATTCGAGAACAAGTGGGAGGTAAGCTATTTCTTATTTTGGGGTTTTACACAGAAGTACCACCACATAAAAGCTTTCATGGTCCCATTAATAATGTGTTTATGCATTAGCTACTCCAGACCACAGGAGGCATCCAAGGGACATTGCCACTGACTGTCCAAAGTGTGGCTTCCCAAGGCCTGCCATGGTAAGACCCTCCACACGCGCCTATTGAGTGGCGTCTTGTGTGCTCTGCACTGGCAGAGGTACAGTGATTGCAAAAGGGCAGAAGGCACATTTACTGTTCGCCTCTTGAGGTACAATTTAGGTCAAGAAAGTGACCAAAAATGAAGCCTAAAAAATTTTTTAATACAAAGCAAAATACCAAACATAAATTAGACTATAAAATGACGACTGATTATGAATGGAGGGTAACTCCCAGAGGAGATACAGTTTTGAGTAGAGTTTTCAAATGAGCGAGGACATGGATTCATAGCATGGAATGGGAGTTCACTACAGGGAGAAGAATGGCCTGTGCAGAGATACAGGGGCAGAAGCAAGTTAGTTACATGAGAAAGAGTCATCAGGGTTCTTGATTAAGGGAATAAGACACAACATAGAAAAATGGTATTAGAGGAACTGGCTCTAGGATCATGACAGCTGCAGAATCCCTTGCAGCGATCATTTGACCACAATGGGGTCTCCAACACACTGAGCGCTCTCCCATTTTATCCCTCTCCCTCAGCCTTCTCCTCGCCATTTCTGTCTTTCCTAGCTTAGTAACCACAGTCCATCCTTAGTCTGTCTCCTGCAGATATCCTAAAGTCCTTGCCACTTTATGTTATCTTCACCCCTCATGCCTACCCCATCACCGAATTTCATCTTCCTACCTTCCAAACGTATCTATCTTAAGTCTGTCTGCACACATCTGTCTCCACTGCCACCCCCCTTGTTCTTGCCATGGTTGAGTCCTTGGGGCACTTGGTTCCCCACATCCGTTCTGGCTCCCTTCAAGCTGTTCTCCAGACAGCTGTTCTCGGCACCCAGAACAATCTTTTTGAAACATCCCTCTGAGCACATCGGTTCTTCTTCTTACCAAAATGGTGTCAATGATGACCCATTCCTTTTAGGATAAAAATGTTATTTTTTCTATGGCCCACAAGGGTCTTCATAATTTGGCCCGGACTGCCTGCCAGTGTCATCTCACATCACTCTTACCTCGCTCTTCCATACCAGCCGCCTCTTTGTTTCTTGGTCTTCCTGTATGCTATACTTCTGCCAGCCTCAGGGCCTTTGCACCCGCCTTTTCTCTGCCTGAAATTCCTTTCTTTTTTTTTTTTTTTGAGACAGAGTCACACTGTGTTGCCCAGGCTAGAGTGCCGTGGTGTCCGCCTAGCTCACAGCAACTTCAAACTCCTGGACTCAATCAATCCTCCTGCCTCAGCCTCCCGGAGTAGCTGGGACTACAGGCATGCACCACCATGCCCAGCTAATTTTTTTCTATTTCTAGTTGTTTGGCTAATTTCTTTCTATTTACAGTAGAGACAGGGTCTCGCTCTTGCTCAGGCTGGTCTCGAACTCCTGAGCTCCCACCTCAGCCTCCCAAAGTGCTAGGATTATAGGCAGGAGCCACCACAACCGGCCTGAAATTCTTTCTGCTTCTTCAGTTATTAATAGCTGTGTCTTCTTAACCTAAGGTC